ATCTGTCTTACACCCGTTGTATGTGAACGTTTGAATCAAACACCCGATCATCACGTGGTGCATTGAAGCAACGAACTGTCGCAACGGTGCACAGTTAGGGGGAACACTTTCTTGAAATTATTATGAGGGATCATCTTATTTACTACCGTCGTTCTAAGTAAACAAGATGCAAAACATGATAAACATCAAATGCAATCAAATAATAAAAGTGACATGATATGGCCAATATCACATAGCTCCTTTGATCTCCATCTTGGGGCTCCATGATCATCTTGTCACCGGCATGACACCATGATCTCCATCATCATGATCTCCATCATCGTGTCTCCATGAAGTTGCTCGCCAACTATTACTTCTACTACTATGGCTAACGCGTTTAGCAATAAAGTAAAGTAATTTACATGGCGTTTCTCAATGACACACAGGTCATACAAAAAATAAAGACAACTCCTATGGCTCCTGCCGGTTGTCATACTCATCGACATGCAAGTCGTGATTCCTATTACAATAGCATGAACATCTCATACATCACATATATATCATTCATCATTCATCACAACTTTGGCCATATCATATCACAAAGCACTTGCTGCAAAAACAAGTTAGACGTCCTCTAATTGTTGTTGCAAGTTTTACGTGGCTGAAGTAGGGTTCTAGCAAGAACGTTTTCTTACCTACGTGAAAGCCACAACGTGATTTGTCAACTTCTATTTACCCTTCATAAGGACCCTTTTCATCGAATCCGCTCCAACTAAAGTAGGAGAGACAGACACCCGCCAGCCACCTTATGCAATTAGTGCATGTTAGTCGGTGGAACCGGTCTCACGTAAGCGTACGTGTAAGGTTGGTCCGGGCCGCTTCATCCCACAATACCGTCGAAGCAAGATAAGACTAGTAGCGGCAAGAAAGTTGACAACATCTACGCCCACAACAAAGTGTGTTCTACTCGCGCAAGAAGAACTACGCATAGACCTAGCTCATGATGCCACTGTTGGGGAACGTTGCAGAAAACAAAATTTTCCTACGGTTTCACCAAGATCCATCTAGGAGTTCATCTAGCAACGAGTGATTAGATGCATCTACGTACCTTGTAGATCGCGAGCGGAAGCGTTCAAAGAACGGGGATGAGGGAGTCGTACTCGTCGTGATTCGAATCACCGAAAATCCTAGCACCGAACGGACGGCACCTCCGCGTTCAACACACGTACGGAACAGTCACGTCTCCTCCTTCTTGGCTCCAGCAGCAGCACGACAGCGTGGTGATGATGGAGCTGCAGTACTCCGTCAGGGCTTCGCCAAGCACTATGAAGGAGGAGGAGGTGTTGGAGAGGGAGAAGGAGGCAACCAAAGGCATGGATGAAAAGCCCTCCTTCCCCCACTATATATAGGAGGGCCAAGGGGGGGGGGCGCCGTCCCTAGGAGATCCAATCTCCTAGGGGGGGCGGCGGCCAAGGGAGGTTTCCCTCCCCCCCAAGGCACCTAGGAGGTGCCTTCCCCTCCTAGGACTCTTCCTCCTTGAAACCCTAGGCGCATGGGCCTCTTGGGGCTGGTGCCCTTGGCCCATGTAGGCCAAGGCGCACCCCCTACAGCCCATGTGGCCCCCCGGGACAGGTGGCCCCACCCGGTGGACCCCCGGGACCCTTCCGGTGGTCCCGGTACAATACCGATGACCCCGAAACTTGTCTCGATGGCCGAAACAGGACTTCCCATATATAAATATTTACCTCCGGACCATTCCAGAACTCCTCGTGACGTCCGGGATCTTATCCGGGACTCCGAACAACATTCGGGTTACTGCATATACATATCCCTACAACCCTAGCGTCACCGAACCTTAAGTGTGTAGACCCTACGGGTTCGGGAGACATGCAGACATGACCGAGACGACTCTCCGGTCAATAACCAACAGCGGGATCTGGATACCCATGTTGGCTCCCACATGCTCCACAATGATCTCATCGGGTGAACCACGATGTCGAGGATTCAAGCAACCCCGTATACAATTCCCTTTGTTAATCGGTATGTTACTTGCCTATGATTCGATCGTCGGTATCCCAATACCTCGTTCAATCTCGTTACCGGCAAGTCACTTTACTCGTACCGTAATGCATGATCCCGTGACCAGACACTTGGTCACTTTGAGCTCATTATGATGATGCATTACCGAGTGGGCCCAGTGATACCTCTCCGTCATACGGAGTGACAAATCCCAGTCTTGATCCGTGTCAACCCAACAGACACTTTCGGAGATACCCGTAGTCTACCTTTATAGTCACCCAGTTACGTTGTGACGTTTGGTACACTCAAAGCACTCCTACGGTATCCGGGAGTTACACGATCTCATGGTCTAAGGAAAGGACACTTAACATTGGAAAAACTCTAGCAAACGAACTACACGATCTTATGCTATGTTTAGGATTGGGTCTTGTCCATCACATCATTCTCCTAATGATGTGATCTCGTTATCAATGACATCCAATGTCCATAGTCAGGAAACCATGACTATCTGTTGATCAACGAGCTAGTTAACTAGAGGCTTACTAGGGACATGATGGTGTCTGTTATTCACACATGTATTACGATTTCCGGATAACACAATTATAGCATGAATAAAGACAATTATCATGAACAAGGAAATATAATAATAATGCTTTTATTATTGCCTCTAGGGCATATTTCCAACAAACACTTCATCGGTGCACCGGTGAATTACGGGCCAGTTCTTTTAAGTGACTTAAAAAAATAGGGCAGTGCTACACGTCCCCCGATGCATAATCTAGAAAGATCGACCGCCTCAAGAATCGTTAGATATGGCACCATCAACGGTCCAACCTCGTCATCATCATTGCAAGAGAGCGCATATTGCACAAACCCTTTTGTAACATTGGTGTTGTTGCAGAACTTTCTTTCGTCTTCACTTTTCTGCAACATGGGTGTTGTTGTGGAATGAACTTATGCACACATAGATGATCCTGCAGAAATTTTTTCTGTCTTCACTTTTCTGCGACATGGATGTTGTTGCAGAATGAACTTGTGCAACATACATGTGTTGCAGAGTTTTTTTTTTTCATCTTCACTTTTTTGCAGCATGGTATTGTCACGGAATAAACCTTTGCAACACACATGACATTGTAGAAAAAACCAATGGAAATGAAGTTACAGAAACATCGACGTCGCCGCCGTTCGCCGTCAACCACGAGGCCATCAACCTCCAAGCTCCCGTCTCGAGCACCGCCAATCCCCGTCGCCGGTCGCGTGGGCCAGCGAGCTCGCATGCTAGCCGCTGCTTGCATGCTACTTCCATGTACGCCCACAGTTGGGTTGGGGAAGGACATGGCCGGGTTGTGGTGTCCACCGAAGGCTTGCGTGGCCATTCTGCTCGCAGGCCGGTGGGCATGGGCTAGCGATGTTCTTCTTGTATGCGTGATGGAGGAGGCTGGATGGTTGGGGAAGAAAGAAAGAAGACAAGGATAAAAATGTGGCCGGGAGTGATCGGACGAGAAGATAAGGCAACACACGAAGCGGTGCATGGGCCCATTGGGGCATGCGTCACTCGTGGGAGGTGGCGGATAAGCGAGAGAAAAACTGTCGGTTGACACTGAGCGTTTGCCTAAAAAAATAAGTTGTTTCTCCTCAAGTAAAAAAATAACTTGCTTCTTAAATTTGTTGAGACTTTTAAATTAATTATGTTATAATTAGTTGAGAAACCCAAATGAATAAAAGAGGCGGCTTATAGAAAAATCAAGGTCAACATGTATGGCATGCAGATCTCCTGCTTGATGTAAACCGTGCTGTAACCACCGATTTAATCGGTCCCTCGTAAATGGAATGTAAGGCGTTCCGGATAAAAAAAACTAGCGAGATGGCGGCTTTTTTTAAAAGCTGTCTAACCCTAAGTTGCTAGGTCCACTCGTCCAGCGGGTCTTCATTAGGGGTGGAAACGGATCGAATGCGGATCGGATAGTGCTCTTGCCACTTCCATTTTCATATTTTCAAAACGAATACGAATCCGAATACGGATGTTATCGGATACGGATGCGGCTCGGATATTATTCGAAAACGGATATGTATCGGATATTTTCTTGATTCAGAACGGATACGAATAATATCAACATATTGCTTAAGTAAATTAGTCGATAGCTATGTGACCTGAAATAATCAACTTGTGACATACAATAAGTCAATGATAAATAGGTTTATGAATAAATACTATTGTAATGCATAATAATTTATAAATTTAATCATATAAAGAGTAAAATTTGACCACTTATTTGGCTTTTATGTTGGATAATTGGAATATTGGGTCTAGAATTTTGAAAATTACCTCCCATAATCTTATTTGGATACGGATATATCCACTTTCATATCCATATTTGTCTCAAAATCTCGTACCATATTTTATTTTTTATTTGTTTAATAAATTCGAATACGGATAATTTCCATTTCCATTTTAGTTCGGATGCGGATGTTTCGGATACGAATAGGCATTTTCTCGAATACGAATATCGGATATTTCGGATTATCCGCTACCAATTTCCACCCCTAGTCTTCATGCGACACCAAGGATGACTACAATCCCTAAAAAACAAGGATAACAACAGTACTGCCGCCCATGATCACCGATTCCTCCGACTTCTGCCTGAGCACCTGAACTACAAACACGGTATAACTAACATATTCCATTTATGCGGCGCGAACCCAAGCCATGACATTACAGAAGAACTCAGATATCAAGATCACCACAACATTCATCAACAGACACAAAATACATAACAATATTCGCCACCAGCATCCGCTGCTAATTCGCAGCAGGCAGAAGTCTGAAGCAATTTTCCGGCGTTTCTACAGCACAACAAGGGGGACACTGTAACTGCAACAGAGACTAAGCTAGCCTACCAAACAACGGAAAAAACACATGGGTTTTTGAATGCTGGTTTCTGTTGATCCTCTGGAAGGACAGGAAATAAAGACAGGGAGAACTCCGAGAGCGGCTCGCCGTCTCAGGCGACATGCTGAAGCTGCACTTGCTGCTGCTGCTGCCGCTTCTGCTGCTTCTGTACATTGGCCTTGTGCTTCTGCCCGGCCAGGTGGAACTCGTAGACCTTCTGGCTGTTGACGACGACGTTGCACGCTGTGCAGATCTTCATTTCGCCATGAGCCGCTCCAGCCTCGATCACCCGCCTCTTCTTCACCTCCAAGTCTGCTGGGGACGCGTTGGAGCTCTTGTTCTTCTTTGGCTGTACAGCCGGCACAACACCATCAGCAGTGGCGGCAGCGGCGGCAGGAGGTGCTGTGTTTGCTGCAACACTGCTGTTCGGAGGCTTTGCTGGTTGAGGCGTGATCGCGTCTTGTAACTTCTGCAGATTCTTCTTGTGCTTCTGACCTGTTTTATGGATCAAGAGAACCTCCATGGTGTCGCACTGGATCTTGCAGACTTCACAGAGTAATGGCTGCACAACTTTTGGAGTTTTCTTCCTGAAACTCCTCCGAACGTTTGTCGGCAGAGGATGTCCAAAATGGGCATTCCACTGAGCATGATGCATGACCGTGGCTGCAGCTGTTGGTGCCACTCCGTTTGGAGCTTTCGCAGCTGCTACCTATGGAGACAATGTTGACACCAAGTTAATATGGAGAGATGAGAAATATAGTATGAAAGCTAATCAGCAGATACAATTAAGGTGAACTGAACAGAAGATGTGCCATACAGTGAAGGTAAGAAAAAAAGATTTTCATACAATTAGTTAGTGCACATGTGAAATCCATGTCACCGTGTCAAGCATGGTTATACACAAAAGCACACATTAAATGGAGGCCAGCATATTTTAGGGGCAGCACCAAATTTGATATATAGCCACCCAGTCTGATGAATGGATGGTGACGGTATTGGATCCATTTTCCATGTATATCTTACACTGAACAAGCTCTATCCAATACTACTATTTAAATATGATGATGCGGATGACAACATATTATACCCACATACCAATAACACCTGCGCATACACATATGATGCCCTCAGCTATGTATCAAGAAGGTAAAGACTTGGCAACAACCACCTCCTATACTAACAGCTGTGCCTCAGCACAAGAAAAGCAATGCAGCACTGGGAGCACCATGACAGTACAGAAAGACTAAGGCAGACCATGCCGCCCATTCAGATCAGAGGTAAAGTTGGAGTAGGACCTCTTAGTCGAGACCTGCAAATTTACACTCCAAGCACAAGATGCGTCTGTGGAAATTGTCCACCTTTTGGTACGGTGGATCTGAGGCACAGAGTTTGATATGAACCATTGCTGTTCTCGAATTTGAACTTGGCAAGAAAGCATGTAAAATGAAGTTCAGATAGCATGTACTGAAAACTGATGTTTCTGCTAACAACAATGAAGCAACAGCCAATATGATCACCTGGCTAAACTCGATCAGAAAACGTGCGGGCTGGAGTTAACTGAACGTAAATAGAACAGATAAAGGGAAGCAACTCTCCCTCAAAAACCTGAGACGAGCATTGACAGACCGACTGAGGATTTGGACTACATGGGCGATATCTGGCTTGGTGACTGTGGGATAGAAACCACTGCCCACAATGTATACTCTTGTGAAGTATTATGGCGCACTCGCACTCTAACTTGTCCTTGTGGAGCTGTGTATGGCACCTCGGTTGTAGATGAGATGCATGTTGAAGTCAATGTTAAAACTGGGATCAGATTCCTTGACGAAACACGAGGAACAACAAAAGTTTGTTGTCACTGTAAGGGTAGCACTCAAGTGTACATGGCTAGTAAACAAATAGTGTTTGTCTTGTGCCTAGATGTGCATTGTATGCTTAAATAGGGTTGAGTCCTGGTAGTTCTAGTTCTCCTATATAGTCCTTTGGGGTTATTGCAAATTTGAAATACACTCAATCTATTTGGGTGTCTTTCAAGAATTAACAGTCATTAAACTCTCAGAAAATAACAACCACCAAGGCTCCAAACAAGGATATTCAAATTAGAGGACCTTTGCTTGATCCAAATATAGGACTCAGAGCATGAGAACCTTTATTAATAATGGAATTGAGCCAAAATGGGAAAATATGTTAAATCTGTACCAGGCTTTCACATCCTCCAGGATGCGGAATTTCAGCTTCGATTTTTTTTTCCAGTTTTGACATGACAAGGACAAAGACCAACTATCAAGCAACATAGACATGTAGATCAAAAAGTAACAAAACAGATTAATGTGAAATTATGTCTATGGCAAAACCAACATGCAAACAAATGAATGCTGCCAAGTTACAGATTGAACATACCCAAGAATGGAAGTGGGCAAAGAATTGGATATTAGTACTCAATAGACCTGAAAATTGCAGGCTACAATGTTCTCAGCAGAAACAAGTAATGAATTTTACTGAATTGAGTAGGCAAAAATAGGTGTGAACATGCAAATGCCCACTTGGTTTCCACAGAGGAAGAACGAAACAAAGTGGCCGGGGGTGAGGAAAACTCGAGGATGCAACCATGCAGGTGACCACTTTATTTCAATAAAAGCGAATTTTCAATATACAGATGCTCACATTGAAACAAGATACATACACTAGCACTACAATTGAGTTTGGGCATTTAGGATAATAGTTCCCGTGCATCAATAAATGAATGGATGGGACCGATTCAGGTCCTAAGGCCTAAGAACACTAAATGTGCAAGTTATCATCATCCAATATTCTCTCAGCTTATAGTTAGAAGACTCTGTGCCCCAACCCCCAAATACTCCTACTTGCTTTCATCTCCATCCCCAGCTTGCCATGAGACAGACAGCCCTTTGAAGGCAATTTTCCATCACGGCAATTTTAGCTCTACAAAAACATTATGATGTTCCATCACTACTTAAGATAGTGTGACCTATTCCATAATCAATAACTTTATTATCGGAGGAATTTTAACCAAGTATGGGAGAGAAGGGTCACTCCAATTCTTTTTTCCACATGGATACACAAATGCATCCTTATCATGATTTTCTTTCCAAAAGCCATGCCAAAGTGATGAAATCATATGTGCTCTTTTCACCCAAATAGGAAGGAGCACAGGTTAGGACGTTGCCCTCAAACTAAGGCATACATGGTAAACATACACAAATGATTTTCATTCTCTAAGCTATGTCAAAATGGTGAAATCACATATGCTGTACTACTAGCCCAGGTCTTCAACAAAGCAGGCAGTCACCTGCTTTCTAATCACACTCATTGGTCTGCCGCACATCATAATTACTTAAATCTACAACAGTTCCAACTAAGCTGAAAATACAACAGTTCCAACTAGGCTAAAAATGTCCAAAGTTCACATCTGCTGAGGTTAACTTTCAGTTGCACTTCACTAATATTTTGATTAGAAGTCCCTATTAAAACAAGCAAGGTTTCATTCCAACTCGCGCTTATTCTATTATTTCGTCAGTTTAGACATAAAAAGATGACATGTTATCTTTCGGTCGCAATTACCAATCATGACTTACATTTCAATGAAGCCCCTAGTAACTGATCAACTTTGATATCTGACAGCACCAAAGCCTAGGCATGGCTCCTTGCAGGCACAAAAGGATTTGACTAAAGAACTTCTCATGGTCAAGATTTAACAAATCTACCGGAGTGATATCCTTTTTGCTTGCATGTCAACCAGTCTGCGAGTTTAAGATGCGGGTGAGCAATTTCCAAACCATTCCAATTTTCCAGCTAGTCTGGAATGTTTTGTGATTTTTACAGTGCGAGGATTCCCAAACCTAGAACCCATAAAGCCAGAAGGCAGCAATCGAGTTATCTAGGATTATGGGCTACCTTCACCAACTATATATATATGCCAAGAACAATCGATTCGATAGAAAATCAGTGAGGCCCGATTTGTAACCATGCTCCCTTATCTGACGAACCCCTAAAAAATCCACCTAAATCCACCACACTCGGAACGCATACAGAGAAAGATGTACCAAATCGGAGACAGTGAGCGCACTGACCTGGGCGTAGCGTTGGGGATCGAACCCGAAGTGCTTCACCGCCTCTCTTCCAGCCGCCGCGGCCGCCGACGCCGCCGGAGCTGTCTGGGCCGCCGACGGGGCCTGAGAGGCCTCGCCGGCGGTGAAGTAGTAATCCGCGAGGCCACTCCCCCCGTCCGTCGCCGGGGCGCCGTAGTAGTGGTATTGGCTGGTGTACGGGTTGTACTGCGCCCCCGTGATAGCCTGGGCGGCAGGGTTGGAGTAGTAGTAGGAGGACGAGGCGGCGGAGGCGGGGGCGGGGGCGGGGGCGGAGGGGGCGGCGGCGGCGGGATCGGGGTAGTGGTACACCGGGTAGGCGTAGGCGTAGGGGTAGCCAGGAGGGTAGGCCCCACGGGGATCGGCGGCCTGCGGCGCCGCGGCGGCGGCGTGAGCGGCGTAGTCCATGGTGGCGGTGAGGGCGCGATGCGGTCGATGGGGTGCGGTGAGGGTGCGACCGTGTGTGCGATCACCGTGGCGTTCGGGTGCACGAGGGACCGAACCGTATCGGGTTCTCTCGGCCTAGCCAAAGAGTTTACGGAGTACGGCCTCCTGTTTTACTGATTTACTACTAGTTCCCATCGTATTTCGTGTTATATTTTAAACATAATTTTAACTAATAAAATATAATACATAATAACAAAAATAATATCATTAGAAAAAAACATTTAAATACGAATTCATTGACAATTTTTATACATTAACATTTTGCTAGTCAGATCTATGATCAAAATTTGGCATATGAAATACAAAAGGGACCAATTATGAAGTACTCCTTCGTCCGAGGACCGAGATAGTAGAAAACTGTCTAGTGAGGTGTCCCCCTTCCCCAAAATCAAAACAACCAAGGAGGACTGAATTAAGGAGTACTCCTCCGTCCCAATGCAAAATGATCTTATATTATAGGGCGGATGAAGTAGAAAATATATTAGTGCTACATGCATAAAGCATTTTTTTCTTGGTCTCTTAGCAGGAGTTCATAGGTAAAATGCTGACGCGACGACACGAGACATGAGTTTCCCAGTCAATACGCTCGTGACGCAAAGGGTACCAAGGCGATAGGGTTTCCCCTGCACCCTGCCGATGCCGACGTGGTCTGCCTCGTCTCATGTGACCTTAGAGTTATGGAGGCGCGGTGGATCATGGTCCTTACTGCGGGATGACTTTGTTTTTAGATATACTTTTTAGTATATAAAGCGGGCCGAAAGCCTTTTTGGGTAAATATGGAATACGACTCCTCGTCTAACCCCAGCCCCGATGGTACTTCTAGCATCGCTAGAGGGCGTGTGGAGGCTTGTCTCTGGCAGATCTAGCGGGATACATTCGGTGTTTGTCTTCGGTAAATCCGGTTGGATTCGGTCTTTGTTTTTCTACGTTTGTGTGTCTAGAGTTTGGATCCTTTTGATCTAGACATTTCTTTGTCGGCGATGTTTGCGATTCTGGTGCGTTGGTCCCATGTGGCCTTATGACGATGACTTCCCGACTGTCTACTAAATAAGGTTTGCTCGGCTCTAGTGAGAGAGAGGCGATGACGGTGGTGTGTGTCATGGGGATGTTTTCGACAGTAGAAAGGGGTAGGAAGATGGAGCATGATCTATCTAGAGCAGACGGGTGACACAAGTATTTTTACGAGTTCGGGCCTCTTACGGTGGAGATAACAACCCTACGTCTCGTTCTTTGAAGAGGCTTTTCTTTGTTCCGTGTATGAATTTAGTGCGTATGTGAAAGAGTTTGCAAGAGAGAGAGAGAGAGAATGAGAATGAGAATCCCCTAAATCTAAGTGTGAGGGGTCGCTTATAAAGATTGCGCCACCCTCTCACCTACTATGTTACAAGTAGTTATCCGCCCTACTCAACGATGGCGATGCTTCAAATGTCATGCACGACTATTGTGCTTCTTGTATCAGAATATACTGGCTGGCCAAGTAATTTGTGTCTTCCGAGTACCTGACACATTAGATCGTTCAAGTAGTGGTGACCCAAATGTCACCCGAGTAACTTTTTGGGTGGTTGAGATTGATTTGGGCCCATCTGTCATACGGATCCCATGCTTTATGATACTTTGACCCTTCACGGGCCTACCTATTGTGGGTATCCCCATCAATGCACCTACGGCTCACTCTAGCGCTTGCAGTTGTCGCTAGGTGTTTCAAAAATCTGGATGTAATTTTTTTACTTCTGATGTTATTTATACTACCTTGATAATTGATGAATTTATGGGAAGTTTTTCTTCAAAACAATACCGATGTGGCACATCAATTAAAGAAGAAAAGAAGGGAGTTGTGGCTCTTAGCACATTTCACTACACAATACAATTAATGTTTTGATCTGATGTGGTTTCTTTCTAATATTTCTCTCATTCCCTTCTCTCTACAACTAGGCCACGATATTGAGATGTACATATGATTCCTAAACCAATTGAATGCAACATACTTAGAAATAACACCTAAGGACGTTGCTAATTCTAGTCTCTTAGAGCAAGTACAATAAGGTGACTTAAACAAGCTATAAGAGTTTAAAAATTAGTATATTCTTGCTTAATTGGAGGAGAGAGAAAAGGAAAGAGAAGGGAAGCTGTCGGTGTCAAAACCGGTGGATCTCGGGTAGGGGGTCCCGAACTGTGCGTCTAGGCCGGATGGTAACAAGAGGCAGGGGACACGAAGTTTTACCCAGGTTCGGGCCCTCTTGATGGAGGTAAAACCCTACGTCCTGCTTGATTAATATTGATGATATGGGTAGTACAAGAGTAGATCTACCACGAGATCAGAGAGGCTAAACCCTAGAAGCTAGCCTATGGTATGATTGTATGTTGTGATTGTTGTCCTACGGACTAAAACCCTTCGGTTTATATAGACACCGGAGAGGGTTAGGGTTACACAAGGTCGGTTACAAAGGAGGAGATATCCATATACGTATCGCCTAGCTTGCCTTCCATGCCAAGTAGAGTCCCATTCGGACATGAGACGAAGTCTTCAATCTTGTATCTTCATGGTCTAATAGTCCGGCCAATGGAGATAGTCCGGCTGTCCGGAGACCCCCTAATCCAGGACTCGCACAGTAGCCCCTAAACCAGGCTTCAATGACGATGAGTCCGGCGCGCAATATTGTCTTCGGCATTGCAAGGCAGGTTCCTTCTCCGAATACATCACAGAAGAATTTGAATATGAGGATAGTGTCCGACCTTGCAAAATAAGTTCCACATTCCATCGTAGAGAGAATAATATTTTCGCAGATCTAATTCGCTGGCTTGTTTCGGCAACATGACGTTACGTCATGGCCCGGTGATTATTCGAACCGTTTCTTTTAACCAGCCCCGCACATAACGCGAGGCAGTTTTTCGACACGTCTTGTCAAAGCAGAGATCGTGTCCCCTTATTACGGGATTCTCATCAATACGGGCGTGGGTAACCCAACCGCGCCATCAATTGCGGCGCTTGGGGGACAAGCAAGTTTTACCAGGCAAGTGGGGACGCTTAGTTTCGTCCGCCCATATAAAGGGATAAGGATTCACCTTCTTATCCATGCCTTCTTCCTCCTTTGCTCATCCGCTCCCGCACACTCGAGCTCTAGCGCCCAAGTCCTCACTTCTATCTCAACCTTCTCCAACCATGTCCGGAGCGGGAGGCAAGTGGATGGTCTCCTCCATCACGGAGGGAGACATCAAGAAACTGAGGAGAGCCAGATACCTGTCCGACGACATCGCGCACCGGCTCCCAGATGAGGGGCAGCTCATCCCCACCCCCAGGCCCCATGAGGGGGTGGTATTCCTCACCCATTTCCTCCATGGACTGGGATTCCCTCTCCATCCCTTCGTCCGGGGGCTCATGTTTTATTACGGCCTGGATTTCCAAGATCTGGCCCCGAACTTCATCCTCAACATCTCGGCGTTTATCGTCGTGTGCGAGGCCTTCCTCCGCATCAAGCCCCACTTCGGCTTATGGCTGAAGACCTTCAACGTCAAGCCGAAGGTGGTGGGCGGCCGCCAGGCGGAGTGCGGAGGCGCCATGGTGGGCAAGATGCCCAACATAACATGGCTCGTGGGCTCCTTTGTGGAAGCCATAAAGGGGTGGCAATCGGGGTGGTTCTATATCACCGAGCCGCGCGACCCCGCATGGGTAGCGACCCTCGAGTTCCGATCTGGCATCCCCATGCGGCTCACCTCCTGGAAAGAGAAGGGCATGTCCTGGGGTAGTTCGAAAGAGCTAACCGGACTCCAAACATGTATTCAAAACATGGTGGACAAGAAGCTCAAGCTTGTCAACATAGTCCAGGTTATGCTCATCCGCCGGATACTCCCGTGCCAACAACGGGAGTTCACCTTGTGGGAGTTCAATCCGGCGCAGCACCGGACTCTGAACAAGCTCTTCGACACAACTCATGAAGACGCCTGGAGGGTGCTGTTTAAAAGTGCCGAGGTCCCTCCCCTATCACTGAGGATCGCGGATTCAGCGCGAAGCGCCAAGCTAGTGCGGTAAGCTGCTTTACCTTTCACAGGATACTTATTTTTTATATAGATTGGCTCTATGCGGGATCTAAACTCCTGGACCATTGATAGGACTGGCAGAAGATGGCCGGACAGATCGACTGTCCGGCTCCTTTGCCCAAAGGCCCCGCAGACGCTCTTCTGGCGAAGATGCTGACTCCGGCCCCGAGCCAATATCGAGGTATCATCGGACGGCTCCCTGGGCTCGTCGGACATGGATAGCGATCCAGTCCCGACCGCCACCTCCCCTCATCCTGCCGATGACGCCGAGGTGTTGTCTCAAGAGGCACCGGATCGAGGGGAGACAGTCTCGGAGGCGCCTCAAGGCGACCTTCTGGACTCCGAGAGCCGTGGGGATGGGGCCCCCGAGAGCTCCGAGTTCGGCGCTCAGCCGAACACCGTGCCGGACCCTCCAGCAGTTCCGGACTCGGGCAGGCGGCCTCCTTCTAAGATGGGCAAAACGCCTGTGCCGGTGACCTCTGTCCATCCAGAGGCACCGGACAATCTGCTGGAAGCGCTTCGCAGCGCTTCCATCGACGAGGAGCACCACACTATCATGAGTGCGGTGATCCAGAAGGTTCAGTCCACCAAGAGCGGATTGACTGAAGCCTGTGCCAGCCTTCTAACAGGCTTTGAGGTAAGTGTGTTTAAAATGTAGTAGAAATATTACCGCATAGATAGTAGCCCCTGATGCTTTGTTCGGTGTTCACAAAGAAAAGCCGGACAGAGGATCAAATAATATCGCATGAGTCTAATATAAGTATGTCAATATGCATATGCAGGCTTCGTTGCTGGCGTCCGCCGCACTAAATGCGGAGGTCGCCGTACTGAAGCAGGACCTCGAGGGGTCCAAGAAAGAGCTCGGCCTTGCCAAGAGGCAGCTCGAGGAGAACAAGGGTAAGTAATACTCCGTCTATAGATATGTA